ATATATATATATATATATATATATATATTTATACATATATACATATATACATATATACATATATACATTACATATACAGGTTTGACAACTTTTCAGTTTATATCTCGATATATTATTATAAATATATTTTAAATTACAATGTTGTTCTAGCAAAGTTTACCTGATAAAGCACGTGCATATTGCAAAATAGCGTTTCCTCGAACGCAGCCAAACTTATCTTTGTGAAACTGGCTTTTATATGCCTTTTAATTGGAAAAGTAGGAATATTTCAATGTAATATAATAAAAATGTTTGACTAAATATTAAATTAAAGATACGCGATTAATGACTGCGGCGGTTTTGAGTGGTTATGCACAGCATAACTTCGTCAGCGTTGTTAGCGTCGTTATATTTTTCTTCTGCGTGCAATAAGCGACAAAGAGAGAATGACGTTGACAGTGCATGAGCGCTCAAAGTGAACGCAGCCCAAGTATTGTACAAATTTGTGGGATACTCTGTGTGTGTATATATATGCATGCAACCATAATCCTTGTTCAACCTAGTTTTCATCCATTTTTCAGTTTCTATCCTAAACTTATTTGCCGTTAGCAAGAAGAAGCATCTTAGTTCTCAAGAAAAGAAAATATATAATATAATAACTTCGTTAAAAAAGTAGCTCTATGCCTTAATTCGCGAAAAAATAATTTAGCACAAAGATTGCACGAAGCAGAAAAACTTTTAAATGAGAAATTATTTGCTACTATAGATGAGATGCCAACACCTATAAGGATGTTTTTATATCGTATTTAAGAAATATGAACAGAAATAAGTATAAAAGAGAATATACATTAGAGGATAAGATATTAGCATTGTCGCTTTATAAAAAGAGCCCTAAAGCTTATAGATATATGGCACAAATATTTTATTTACCTAGTAAAGAAACATTAAGAAAAGTGGTTCAAAATATTACTTTAAAACCAAGAATTTCTGATGTAATTTTTGATGAAATACAAGCTCGTGTTGAGTCATTTATTGAATTATAGATATAAATATTGCATACTACTTTTTGATGAAATGAAACTGGATGTTTCATTGACATATAACTCAGCTGCAGATTTAGTGGAAGGTTTTACTGATGATGGTGATGAAAGAAAAATCGAAATAGCTGATCATGTGCAAGTGTGGATGCTAAAAGGAATTTATGGTACTAAACCATGGAAATAACCAATTGTATTCTCATTTTGTAAAGATTGTACACCTTCTGATAATATTGTATGTACATTTAAAACTATTGTAACAAAGGCCCAAGATGCAGGATTACAAATTATAGCTTTGGTATGTGATAAAGGTACTAATAACATAAAAGCTATACGGCAAATGATTTTTGACTCCAAACAAGAAGCAATAGATAATAATTTAACTGTAGAGCATGATGTTATAATTATAAGGGATCAGCAAATTATCCCACTATACGATCCACCACATTTGTTAAAGTGCATACGCATTTATTAACAAAAGATTTATTATACAAATTAAAAGATGGCAAAGAATGAACAGCAAAATGGTCTCATGTTGAGGATGCGTATGAAATTGATCGCAGCAATGGGCATCTGCGAATAATGCGTAAATTAACAGATTATCATGTGATACCCAAAAAAAATAAAAAAAAAAATGAAAGTCTCGTATTGTACACAAGTTTTTAGTAACACTGTATCAAGTGTTATGGCATTAATGAGTAAAAGTCAAAGCAAACATTTTATTTCTAACAAAATCATGCCATCTGAAGGTATAGAAACTGCTGAGTTGCTATATTTTTTTAATTAATTATTCGATACTGTCAACAGTATTATTAAAGTAAGTGACATTATACACGAGCAATTGTGGATTGATGCCATTACTGTTTTCGAAAGTATGGAATTTATTAAAAAAAGGCCTTATGATAGAAAAAAATCCAGAAGTCTTGAAAAATTGGATACATACATTAAAAGGGTTTAGATTATTAAATGAATATTTGCGTGACCTTAAGTTTCAAACATTTATAACAAGAAACTTTAATCAAGATGCTCTTGAAAATTTCTTTGGACAAGTTCGACAGCATGGTGGACGAAATATCAACCCCAATTGTGGTACATTTCTAGGCTATTACAAAAGTTTGTTA